CCAGAACCGTGTTCCTGGTCATCCAATCTATAAAGTCGGGCACAATTTAGCTGGTTTTAACAACATTTTAGAAGGTGGGATAGTCCCTTTAAAATCAAATTTTCTTGAAAAAGTTGTTTAGTTTTCGTTTTGTTTTCGAAAAAACGCAAATATTCGTCGATTTCGGGCGCGGCCGGAAGGGGAGAGGGGGATTTGCCAGAACTGCCCCTGGATCCACCATTGTACCTTAAGTTTTTTTGTTACCTGGCTGTTGGGGCAATAAATTTTTACTCATCCGGCACATCCAGAAGGTGTCATTCGCGTATCACTTTTTCATTGCAACATACAAGTAATTCACCTCTTCTCTCTTTGCCCGCAGCTGTCACCACTGCACTGACAGAACATCTCGCTGTTAGCACAATCGTGGTTTCACCCCAGGTGTTCTCTTTCCACCACAAACCACTGTGCAGCGCGCTCAGAGCTGCTGAAGCATCGCTTTACTGCCTACCGCAGTTTGCTCTGACTACGGCGAGCGGTATAGGCGGTGGGCGGCGGCTGCGGCGAACAGTGGACGACGGGCGACGGGCGGCGAACGGTAGGTATACGGCGCGGGCGACGGGCGGTGGGTGCAGCCAGACGGTGCTGGCCCTGACCCGCAGATGAGAGGGAGAGAGTAGCGCCCCAGGCGATCGGCTGGCCGCCGTCCCGACGCCAGGCGAGAGACGACTGGCCGGCCAGCGCGGTGTAGACAGACAGAGGTTTCACCGTGAGGCTCTCGGGCCTGCCCAGCTGGGCAGAGCAAACTTCACGGGCTAGGGCTATAGAGTGAACGCCGCAGGTAAAGCGCGTTTTAACCTTCAGGCAGTGGGAAAGAAATGAGAAGGATAAACCGGAGGCCAAAGGAGAATGCTGCTCGGTCAGCTCAGCTGTTTGGTATGCGTAACTAGAGAGTCAAATTACTTTTACGATGGCTCGAGAATGAAGACAACAGCTAAGCCCTGAGTACTATCAAGCATGTTTCGTTAATTGATGCGACCTCTCTCTCTCTCTCTCTCTCTCTCTCTCTCTCTCTCTCTCTCTCTCTCTCTCTCTCTCTCTCTCTCTCTCTCTCTCTCTCTCGCTCTCTCTCTCTCTCTCTCTCTCTCTCCCTCTCTCTCTCTCTCTTTCTCTTTATCCCAGCTCACTCTGACACCCTACACCAGACCTCTCTGATCCGGTCCACAGTCCACCGGCACACGTCAGCGCGTATTACTGCGACAGCATTACACCGAATTAAGGCGACAGGTATAGGTGCGAACGGACCGGCGCTCTCCGACGAGCAAAGTCCACTGAGTGCAGCCTGGGTGCGGCCGTCCGCGCCGAGCTGTGACCCGCGACTCATTCTTATCCAACTACGGGGCGGATAAGGCGGCGACTGTTGACCATCAAACAGTCCTCGGCCGGGCGGCCGATAGAACAGTGCGGGCATCGGCGTATCAAACACGATGTTTGGAGAGGACCGTGCAAACGTACTGAGACTGCATGCGGGCGAGACGAGGGTGGGAACTAGCGCGCATGAGAGATTTTGTTTCAACTTCAGAAAGCTGGCAGGTTTTTCAACTTTCCACTGTAATAAGACACAGTTTGTCATCTAAATCATTTAGTTTTGCAAAAACAACAATGGGGCACGTCAGACCCGCCCTTGTGACCGGTTGCTATCTCAGTCTCGGTCCAGTCCGCCTTGGTTACCACCGGTCGGATGGAGAGACTGCGGTAGACTTCGTCACCTCACGAACCCAGGAAACAGTCGGGCCGGCCGTGACACACGACCGGCGCCGAGGCAGAACCGTGCTCCTGGCCGCAGCTCACGAGTCGCACGCCACTGCAAAAACTACGCTCACTCTCGTTTCCTCATCGTGTGCGAAAGCAAAATATTGCTTCGATGGACCTCACACGCAATGTCCGCTTAGGTAAGACCGTCGGCTCTTTCTCCGCAGCACTTTCAAACCTCAATTCCGATTCCGAGGAAACGCAGCTACCTACGTTCAGGTGGACAAAATACTATGAACGAGCTATGATGTCAGCAAAAGGCAGCGTCTTCGCTAGGTGCCTTTTTATTGAAAGGAACTACCAAGTCAACGCAGTTGAGCATTTACATTTTGCGTCGTTAGGGCAACCTTAAATTCCATGTTTGATTCCTGCACACATAAAATCTTAACCTGTAATGCTTAGCAGTGTACGTACTCGCACGTCATGCTAACGTTACCCCAATGTCGTATTTGGGCGCTAGTTTTTCGCCTTCCCACGCACTTGCCGCTAACTTGGATTTCCTCGTGTTTGACGTCAGGTTCCTTATCATGTCGGTAGTATTTCCGAGCCGTTTCCTGGTTCAGTAATCGTCACTGGCTGCAGTCAGCTCGGATTGTCCTTCGTCGCACACGGGAGTTTGAATAATGCATGCTTCCTCCTGCCAACCGTTAATTTCGGTGATATTAATGCGCCGCTAGTGATATCGTAACCTTCTTGATTTTGCCACATTGATATGCATCCACGCTCAAAACATGCGACAATTTCCTTACAGGAAATACTTGCATTGCATACTTAACGTCATTCTAGTCACCTTGACAATCAATTACGTCATTCTCATGTGAAATATCACATCCTATTTTAACAAAATCACCGTCGGTACAATTCTTGTCTAGAAAAGTGCCATAGCTTCTCACCACTCTGATCCGCGCACAGCTCCGCCTGCTGCACAGAGTCTCCCACTTCAAAGAATCCGGTCACATCCGGAGCCTCGTGGTATACCCGAACGAGCCTACGTCACCCTCGTCTACGCCGTTTCGTCCGGTGCCAACTGCCAGCGCCCCTTTGACCCACACGTGACCGGGTGTGGCGCAACCCGTTGGCACCGGAGCCCGTTTTCGGGGTGTTTGGCCCCCGACGGTCGCGCATGGCCATTGTTCCTCGGAGGCTAACCCAGATATTCGGCTGCCAAGAGCCACATAACGGGCTGTTTTCGATATGGCGCTTATGTCGGCCACAGGAATAGAGCAACAGCGTCATTCTCAGGGGCAGCGTTGCCAAAACGTGTGCTGCCACATGGCGATATTTGTTGTTACTTGGGCTGTGAGTCGTGTTGCATGTGTATAGGTGTGTTTGTTAGTCTAAAGAACGACACCATGCGGCTCGGTTAGCGAGAAGTTGTACCCGGTCCCAGTATACGAACAATGGCAGCCCCTGACGGTAAAATGACGCTCAGCGGCCGCCAAGCTACCTGTCGGATTTCGCTCCGTAAGCAATGCTGTTGCAACGTTCTGACATTCTCCTGTTCCTCCTCCCACCATCTCGGATGGCCAAAGAACTCAGCTGAGAGGCAAGAGAAAGTCGTAGGTACTTACAAACTGCATCTCAAGCATACAACTGCCCAGTATAATCTGCCAGACGAAGCGACAAATACCCGCGATAAGTAACGGTGCCTTCGGCAAAAACATACGGATTTCGAGACCTTGGTTATTAGGCTCAAGCCTTCATAAGGGACGGACAAATCGAATAACTGGCAGATAAGTCTGGTAAGTGCGTGTAGCTAAGAAGCCTGCAGGGGAGTTTGTAGCGCCAGAGGAAGCTCACCAAGACCACACCGAGGACCGCTGAGGTGGGTAACTGGGCGCGGTGGTTGCCGTCAGCGTGTCGAGGTTGCGGTACCGATGTGACCCGGGGCACCGACCGCGGCGCCCGGTCACTGCGCCCACCCAGCGACCAGTCTCCTTTCACTTTCTCTTTCCAGCGGCTGGCGGCCTTGCTCCACATCATGGGACCCCGGCGCGAGCCTGCCTCTCGCGGTACCCTCGGGGTCATGCGCGGCGAGCGCCCCAAGAGGCTGGCTGCCGTCACGCGCGTCTGATCGTCGGGCCGCGGTGTACTGAGCTCACCGGCCATTGAAGATCAGCCTGACCTTCTGAGAGAAAACGGCTGAGCGACGGTGAAATTGGAATGCATATGCCTGAGGAACGATTGGATCATAGCCGCCTGGATGCTATCGCGTCGATGCGGGTCGGCCTTGGAAGGTAGAAATAGGCTTTACAATTACTTGGCTTGCTTTTTACAAATTTGGGGTAATTCTGATTATGATAGGACATATGTAGGTACCTATAACAAGTCCCATTATGTTGTGTTCGCAAAATGCCCCTCCCCGACTGACCCAGCTCTTCATATGATGCATATAATGTTGACGTGAGACGTTATATGATATAAACGTGGCATAATGACTACCTAACCTACAAAGTGCTACGTTTCGCTGAATATCTTTGCAATACATACTTGTGGATTAAGCTTTTCATGACAGTTTTTTTTGGAACGACGGAATTGGAGGGAAACATTACGTGTCTCATTCATCGAAGCAACAGTTTGCTTTCGCACTCGTTGAGAAAACGATAGTGAGCGACGGACGGGGAAGTTACGGCTTTTGATGTTTCTTTTCATTGCCAGCTAAAGGAATCTAGATATAGCTATCACCCTTCAACAATTGAATTTCTTAGACAGGCTGTTACTCGAACCCAGCCGTTTCGCACGCGTGAGCGCATTTCTTGCACATTCTCGGCGGATATTGCATTCCGAGCCACTCCCGATGTCGAAAGGAAATCGACTTCTTACTGAAATCGACCGCTGCTGGCTGTCGCCGCATGACAACAGCCACCGACTCTGGCACAAGCCGTAAGGAGAAAGGAGGCATGGAGAGAGGGACAGAGGGCGTGGAGAGAGGGACTGAGCGCCAGCGCCGGGAGCGTCACTTTCGCCGCTCGCGCCGGGCCTCAGCGGGAGCCGGGTCCGTTCCGTTCCGGCCCTGGCCTTAACCGTCGAGCGACAGCGGCAGGCCCGAAGCCGCTCCCTGGCCTTGGGGAGCAGGCTCGATCTCGCCGGGCCAGGAAGGTAGCGTTCCACGGATCGAACTGCAAGCCGGTCCGCCGATTTTCAATGAAATTCGGCCGTAAGCCTCTTCCGTTGCTGCGGTTTCCGTACTCGCGAGTGATTGAAATGCCAAATGATGTGGACATATGTGTATTTGGACACAGTATACAGTTGCATCAAGTGACAACTCGCATCGCCCCCATAGGAACACCAGGCACCGACAAGGAAAAATACAATAAATACACGCCCAAGCTCTCAGATCTCCCAATCGCACTCAGCCGCACTCAGCTCTCTCAAATACTCAACAAACATGCACATCTCTAAATAGAGGGCCAACAAAAAGTCGGCACTGACTCATATAAATATCTCCTTAGTAAGACAGGACGAGCAACGGTCGGAGAACTTGTACCAGCTCATGAGGACGCAGCGGGTCGACGGCGCAAACTGGCGTCGACGTCGGCCCGCTGCGTGCGGCACAGTTTATCACAGCATGGCTCGCCCCTTCATCACAGCCGAGTGCGGTGGGGGATCAGTTCTGGGCGGGGGTGGCGGCGGCGGCGGAGGCGGCAGGGGCGGGCCGCGACCGTCGCAGCGCCGCCGTGAAGCCGCTGGTGCCGTCGGGGCCGCGCGGCGCGCGCAGCACGTGCTCCTGGGCGATGAGGGAGCCGCGCCGGTCGCCATCCTGCACGCCGGACGCCTTTCGGCGCTGGATCCAAGGGCAGGTGCCGGGCGGCGGCGGGCCGTCGAACGACGGTGGGCTGCTCTTCTTTTGACGGCGCTCCGAGGCCGGCTTGCCACCGGCAGCCGGCGGCTTGGCGGCGCTCGGGGCGGCCGGCGGCGGCTTGGAGATGGAGGCGCCGCCGTCGGGCAGCAGGCGGATGTCGGTGCTGGCGAACACGGAGCTGCGCCCGCCGCTGGGGGGCGACTGGCGGCGCGGCACGAGGCCAGCCGGCAGCGGCAGCAGCGGCGGCGGGCAGCTCAGCAGCGGCGGCGGCTGGCTCAGCAGCGGCGGAGGGTGGCTCAGCAGGGGAGGCGGGACGCTGAGCAGCGGCGGCGGGTGGCTGAGCAGCGGCACACAGCCGTGCGGCGGCGAGTTGCGCCGGGAGCCGGGCGTGCTGCTCAGCTCGCCGTCCGTGCCCGAGATGGAGCCCCGGCTGTCCGAGTGGGCCAGCACGTTCTTCTTGCGGCGCTGGCGGCGCTTCTTCTGCGCATCCGCGGCGATGACGCCCAGCAAGGCGCCGCTCGCTGCCTCCTCGGCGATCTCCTCCTGACGCGACTTCTTCTTGTTGCTGACCTTGCCGATGGGCAGGATGTGCATGCCGGCGGGGTCGGTGGGATCCTCGGCCGTCATCGTGTCCCTGGCCCTGCGCGCCTGCTCCTGCAGGTCGAACTCGACCACGGCGCAGTTGACGTTCTCCCAGGCGACGTCCGGGTGCTTGTTGAAGGCGGCGCGCACTTCCACGGGGATGTTGCTGCCGGGCTTCAGCACGCGGATGCTGCTGATGTCCCCGCACGCGCCGAAGAGCTCCGACACGGAGGCGATGGTGGGGTTCTGGAGGGGCAGGTTGACGGCCACCACGGTGCGGCTCGTCACCGTCTCGTCGTGCTCCGGCAGCGGCTGCAGCCGGCGCGCCTTGGTACCGGCGTCACTGAGCTCGATCTGGTCGCTGTGCTGGAGCGCGTGCGCCACCACGCGCCAGTCGCGGCTGATGTGCTTCACCCTCTTGAAGCTCGAGATGAGCTTGACGCTGACGAAGCCCTCCTTGTTGCGCTTGACGTGCTTCAGCAGGAAGGCGTCGCGCAGCAGGTTCTCGTCGCTGAAGTAGAACTCAACGGCATCGACGATGGCGCGCGTGACGATCTCGTCGGGCGGCTCGAAGGCGTCGGCCTCGACGCCGCTGTCGCGGCCGTCGGACGAGGCAGCCGACGAGAGCAGGGCCGTCGGCAGCGACGACTCGTCGCTGTCGGAGGAGACGGACGAGCCGCCGGCGGCCGGCGGGCGGGCGGGCGCCGCGATCGGCACCGGCTCGCTGGCCGGCGGCACCATCAGCACGGGCTCACTGACAGCCATCTCGGACAGACTGCGCGCGCTGACTGCTCTCCCGGCGGTCACACACTCGACTGCTGAACGGGGAAAGCTGGCGGCGCGACGCGGCGACGGAGAGAGACCGGTCGGACGAACTCGCCAGGCTCTGGGACAGCGCGGTCCCCAGCCGACAGACAGCGGGGCTCTCTCCGGTCCGAGCGGCGGCAGACACTGGCTGGCGCGCCGTCGACGCCAGACTATATAGCTATCGTGACGTCACCGGTGACGTACCGCGCCGCTCGGGACGCCCGGCGACGACGGCGGCGGCGCAGCGTGGCGACCCGGCCACGTGCCCCGCGGCGCCGTCGGCGGGGGCGCAGGGGCGCGGGGCGAGGGAGGGGTCTTTGTAACCGTCACCTGACGGCGCTGGCACCTGACAGCTGAGGTTTTTAGGCGTTGGCGTCCCCAGAACGTGCGGTCTAGGCCCTAGGACTGACACGAGAAGACCAGTGCGGTTAGTTAGATTGTGTCGCTACTGGGTACTACGAGTACACGAGTCAGTATGTTTTTTAAAGATATATTAAGTTCGATTCATTCTAAAGAATGTATTTCATTCATTGGCTCTCGATATTCGCTACATTTCAAGCCAGTATAATGTTAAAAACTGATATTACCCTTTTACAAACTATTGTAACCATGACGTCGTTTTTTATTGCAATGAATAACAATACAAATTTATTTATATAATTGAAACTAAGGTACTTCGTGTACACACCTACCTGCATGTAACGTAATTTGAGCGCATACGTAGGTTTACAATGACAATTTTAGGACAATCCTTTGCGCGTTTTGCAGTAGGTAGTTCAAGCCAGGCCGACCCGTCACTCGAATTATCTTTTTAAGTTAATTTGGTGACCTGGCGTGAACTGGCTATCTGTGAGCTATTGTAGCTAAGATATTCGATAATGATTAAAAGTATGCAACGATGTGATAAAAGCGGAAGGGCATTTCAACGCTGCGCAGTGGGCACCACTGCGCAGGCTAAAGGCTTGCCTGAATGTACAAATAGCCTGCCATCTAACTTTAGACTTCCGATCTTGGTAGAGCGATAACAGAGAAGTTATCTGACGTTGGATGAATAAAACTGGATGTCGTTCATCCAGCGAGGAATGTTCTACTCACCATCACACTGCAGTCTTGACTGGTCATTCTTCAATGTCCGGAGAACAATGGAGCCAAGCCAGATTACTATTACGCAACGGTGAATGTTTCTCGACTTCCTCCCCAGTCCGCTGAGATCGTCTTCTACCGCTGCGAGTGATCACGACCTTCTGAAGGACTCTGATCTGCCAGGAGCAACAGCCTGGATCAACATTTGCCCGGAAACAAGAACAGGTTTGGTCGAGTCCCGGTGAGGTCGGCTGGACCCATGCCCAGGAAACTCGTCAGCGGGCGTAACTCCGCAGTCCGCATGACATCCCCAAAAGACACATTGAGACAGATCCATGCCACCAGCCGCCCACAGTCTCAGAGGTCCTCCCAAATCCCAGGTTGAAGCAAACATTTGCAAGGTAGAATCAGTTGCTTATAAATGCGCCATGGGTACATGCAAACCTTTTTTGCAAATTTTGCTTTATGCCATTGTCGTTACTCGTTGCGTTAAAACTCGCATTAATGATCCCACATTTCGACTTACAAGCAGACATTCACATCTCTTTCATTTTGATGCCCAATTTCCATTTTTTTGTGCTTAAAGACGTTCAACTGGACCTTATCTAAAACAATTGCCAAACAAACTTTTAAAGAATCATTTCCAAAACCGATTTCTACCACTACAAAGCGTCAGGTTTTCAGAGTGCAGACCGGAGGCACATCCTCCTGTCACTTGTGTGACAATTTCTTGGTCCCTTTGACGTCAGCAGGGACCATTTGGACACCAGACGGCGCATCTCCGGTCGTCTGACAGCGCAGTCTCAGCCGTGGACGAAGGCGGCCGCCGCTGACGTAGGTTCTGCCCGCGGTACAGCTGGCAGAGCCGCGCGGCGCCCGCGGGATCGCCCGAGGCAGTGCGGGTCGGCCGCCCGACCACGTGACTGACCACGTGGCGTCTTGGCGGCCTGCAGAGCGCCCGAGGTCGCGCCGTTGCATCTCTGTCGGTCTGCTGCTGTCTGTCTGGGGGACGGGTGAGATCTGAGAGCAGGACTGCTGGTAAACTCGGCGCCGGGCCAAACTGGGAGCCACGCAGGACACAAAGGATTGCCGCTGGTTGTTCGCCAGTGATTACTCGGCCCGCGAGCATCGCTGTATTTTCTAAGAAAGCATTCAAATTTAGCATCGTTAGCATCATCATCATCATCATCATCATTTATTCTTATGTCCATCCATGGTAAATGGCTTTTCGGGACAAGTGTCAAAGTACACACAAAGATAAAATACACATACGAAAGCTAATAGTAACACTAAAATGCACAACACCCATACGGAAGCACAAAGTATATGTTTGAAGACACATTAGTGACACATTCATATCAGTCGCGTTCCCTCAGCCAGTCTCTCGCTCTTTTGCGACACAGCGCTGCTGAGCGAGCCCCTGTCACACCGGCAGGGGCGCGATTCCATTGGGCGGGCGCGCGGGAAAAGAAAAACTTCCGCGCATGTTCACTGTTTACCCTGGGAATCTGCAGGGCACCAGCCACAGCGGATCTGGTGTCCCTGGTGGAGACATCGGATCGGTGCACAATGCCCTGGGTTACGTTGGACGGCGCTTGGGGGTGATTAAGCAAATAATGCACCTGGACCTGTGCAACATCACGCTCAGTGATCATTGAGTCAATGGATGGCCAGTTCAGGTCTACCATCAGTGGTGATACATGGGCAGACCGTCTGGTGCCCTTCACCACCTGCGCACAGTGGTTGATAACCTTTTGTAAACGGTGGCGCTGGATCTTGGTACACCCGGCCCACACCGTGGAACAATACGAAATGTGTGGAAAGATCAGCGTTTCTACTATCATTTTTTTCACCATTTCGGGCAATTTGCCGGTCATTTTTGATAGACCACCGAGTGTGGCATAGCAGCGCCGCACCACGCTTGAGACGTGAGCTTCGAATGTGAGTCCTCCGTCTACTGTCATCCCCAACACTTTGACTGTTGGAGAAGGTTTGATAGTTGCATTGCCAAAACGAACCGATAATTGAGACGGAGATCGTCTTCTGGTAGATTTGATAAGAGTTAGATCAGTTTTGTTGGGATTGATTTTCAAACAATTTTCATCAAACCAACTATGCGCAGTGGCCACGGTGCTCTCAACAGTCGCTTGGAGTTCCGTCAAATTATTGGACAATCCCTGGTGCAAGAACTGCACATCATCGGCGTACATCACAATTTTTGAGCCATCCATATAAGACACCAAGTCATTTGTAAATACTAAAAATAAAATTGGTCCTAACAATGACCCCTGAACCACCCCATGAGTAATGGGTAGCGTACCTCCAGTTCCACCTCTCACAGACTGCCTGCGACCGCCCAGCCAATTTTCAAACCAATGAGTGTCAATCCCGTACCAGCCGAGCTTCTCCAGGAGCCGGCGATGCTGGACGCTGTCGAAGGCCGGCTCCTGGAGCATCATTTGAGCCCAGCTGCAGTGGACATTGCGGAGCTGGAACTGTAATTTTTGGTGTGGTGGCAATAAGTGGCAACATGGCTTTTATTGCTACATATGTGAATGTTGCTTTATGATTAAAATTTGAATGATTAATTGATCTAAAAGTGACCTCTCTTCTCTTAAAATCAGGGATGCGGAGCCGGAGCCGGAGTCGGAGCCGGAGCCGCCGGAGCCGGCATATTTTGCCCGGAGCCGGAGCCGGAGCCGGAGCCGTGAAACAATATAGCCCGGAGCCGGAGCCGGAGCCGGAGCCGCCAAAAAGGGGGCGACTCCGGCTCCTTTTTATTTTTTGAAGAGGAAAAAAATAATTGACCTAGTTCGGTTTGACAGTACAAGGCAGTAAAACATATGGTACTATTGGCCTCAAGATAAGGGCCCAGGCTACCTGTAGTTTTGATGCGGTGAATACCCTCACCCTCGCCACAACTCGAGTGGGGGTGGCGCTGGCTAGGAGGAGGGTTGCACTCGGCCCGAGTTGTGGCGAGGGTAAGGGTATTCACCGCATCAAAACTACAGGTCGCCTGGGCTCTTATCTTGAGACCAATAGTACGTCATGGGCCATCAAGTGAATGAAAAAAGCCGAATATCCCCAGCATCCCACAGTACCCAATCAACTTCCTGTTTACTCCTCCCCCCACGTCTGCTGCATCCCCAGAACATGAGGACCGGTCATCAGGTGACGGCCATTGTTTTGAAGCCAGTGCAGTGGACTGCGACTCCCAGCACCGTCTCTTCCCCCCACCCCACCCCCCAATGCAGCCCGAGACGGGTGTCAGCTTAAGATGGTTCAGTGAACTCCGATTCGCGGCGACTGCGTTTCCAATGCCATCGCTTCCTAGTCCTTTGTTCTGCCAGTTCTTTCCGAGATGCGTTTGCGCGGGGACGTGGTGAGCCGGTCATGGCAAAGAGTAACGCGTATAACCAATCCAATTTTTTTCCACCCGTATTTGATTGATTGCATAGGGGATGTACTGAGTCGGAGCCGGAGCCGCCGGAGCCGGAGCCGCCGGAGCCGGACCATTTTACTCGGAGCCGGAGCCGGAGCCGGAGCCGCCATAACATTTCACCCGGAGCCGGAGCCGGAGCCGGAGCCGATTTTTTCTCCGGAGCCGGAGCCGGAGCCGGAGCCGTCTAAAATTTCCACGGCTCCGCATCCCTGCTTAAAATACTTCATTTCCCTCCTTTCGATGACGCTCAATCGGAGCATGTCAGTCAATATGCATGCTAATTAATTCACCGTTTGTAACGTAAGCGGCAATCCCCAGTGGCACCCTTCCGAGGGTTTTAAATTTCGTGTTTAGCTGATCTCCGTCGACAAATGACATTTAAATCCATCCGAACGTCAATAGCTTCATCGCAAACAAACCCTTTGGTGTTTATATTGAAGTGACGGCCTTGCAATGAGCTCTTTACGTTATAAATAACAGCGAAGGCAAACAACGTCATCTTATTTCTCAATCTTCTTCATCTTGCTGTAATAGCCGAGAGGTGACTGGTGATCTGCTTCTGAACATTCTCTCATCGACAGCCTCTTCCTCTTGGCTACAGTCCTGTCGGCGCCCATTATAAACAGGCTATTTTGGCCTCAACGGGCTGGCATTTTGACATGGCTCTCTCGTGACCAGCACGCGTCTCCCCTCCCCGTCGTA